TGTTTAAGTCTCTAAGCTGGAATTTCTGAATTTATTATTCATTTCCAAAGGTTTTGCAAAATACTTCAAAATATTTTGTTGATTGCTTCAACAAAAATAAGAGTCTGTAAAACACTTTACTAGACTTTTAAAAAGATTCTGCTGAAATCTATCTACCTCAATGAATTAGAATAATCTTAAATACCTAACATGCTGCATTGTATAGTTTTCTATGATATCAGTTTTTCTAGGACAGAGAAATGAGGAAGTCTTCATCTCAGATAGCTGAGGATTTAGGCAATACAAATGCATGACCTTTTAATGACATCTTTGCAGGACTGCTAGGGAAGGGGAATTTTCATTTCTGACGTGTTATAAGATTACTATATAAATGCAGGTGTGTATGTGCATTCCTTTATTGTCATTAACTATTGGAAGAATGTGGGAGTGTAACAAGAGTGTGGGAGTGTAAAAGAGAAAACCCACCAAATTTTAAATTTTATCCCTTATAAGTTCATACAGGTCACTTTCAATGCCACAAAATTTTCACATGAAAGTATGTCAAAACATTACATTGTTATAGAAGCAAATGCTAGGGAATCTTTCATTTTAACCAGGAGATATAATGAGTATTAAAATTAGCAAGTACCTCCTCAAATTCCAGCAGACAGAAAATAGTAAGGGAATTTAATTTTTGTGAAGTTTTTAAGAAGTTTGAACACATCTAAGGAAATGTGGACATTAAATATTAAATATTTATACCTTGAACTAGTAACTGATGACTGCCATTACAACTGGTGGAAATCTAGTCAAGATCATCTGTGGGGTATAGACAGCAATTAATCTTGTCCAAAAGTGAAAAACTAAAATAGGTCAGTTAAATTGTTTCCTAAAACTACCTACTTGTTGGCTACAGGGAACCCAGTGTGAGTAGTTTTAGGTGTAGGTTCCTGATTCGTGGATACCTGTAACAGGGAAGGAAGAATCCCATGAGAAGATGTGCTTCGCTGCCTGCCACAGCGCAGTTTTGGGAGGGTTACTTGATAATCAAGTACAGCTGGGAAGGAGTTGAGAGTAAATGGGAGACAGGTGTTGGAAAGAGGAGGTTTCTAGGAAAATAATAAGTTTAAAATAAATAGAGGAAGAGGAAGCCAAAGCAAGAGAGTGATGTTGGTAGGTAATATAATAGTGATAAACCAAGGGATAGGTCAGATGAGGAGGGAAGAGGAAAGAAAAGTAAAATCACTAGGGTGATTGAGAGACTATGAGGAAAGGCTGAGACACCTGCAATTGTTCAGCTGTTTGGTTTGCCCAGGCAGGTTGTGGAGTTTTCATCCTTCAAGATATGCAAAAATGGGAATAGGACTGAGTTCTAGTCAACATGCTGAAAGTGACTTTGCTTGATCAAGGGGATTGGACAAAATGATCTCCAGAGGTTCTTCCTTGTCTCAACTCTTCTGTGATTCTGGGATCACATTTTGGACAACTCGATGAGTAAAAGAACTCTCTGGGTGGGTACTGGCTGGTGTATTGTGTTCTACTTGATGGTGGGTATAACTGGAGCAGTTCTGGGGTTTGGTCTCTTTGGTCTAACCGCTGTGTCAGTGACCTAAAGGAGGTGATGAAGTGTGTTGTCACCAAGCTGGTAAATGGCAACAACCTGAGAAGACCAGCCAATACATTCAAAGGCAGGACTGGTATTTATGGGGACCTAGCGCAGTTGGTGAATGGGGTTGATAGGAACCTTATGAAATTGAACGTGGATAATGCTGAGTCCTGCACAGAAAAGGAAAAGAGTAATCCTTGCAACACCGCAGGCTTGGGTGCTGAGTGGTGAGGAACTGCTGAAAAGGACTGAAAGGTCACAGCAGACAGCAAGTTGAACCTGAACTAGCACTATGCCCTGGTAGAAGAGAAGGCTGACAGTGTCCTGGGCTACTGTTAATGGGAGGATAACCACTAAATCGAAATAAGTGATGTAGCCCACATTCAGCACTCTTAGAGTGTATCTATAATATTGAATCAGGTTTTGGGCTCCCCAAGACAAGAAATACCCCAGTAAACTGGAGAATGTTCACTGGAAAGTCGTCTAGATGGTTAGGGGCTGTGCCCTTTGAGGAGGGACTGAGGTGGATGCTTTGTGCAAGAGAAAGCTTAGGAAGCTCATAGCAGGTGTAGGTGTTATACCTCCTTACAGCCATACCTATGAGAGGTTCTTGATAAGACAGCTAGACTTTCCACAGTTATGTATGGTGGGAGGACATTTTTTGTCAAAGAGCACAAAAGCCAAAAACCAGAATGAGTGAAGTTCCAATTCAATATAGTAAAAAACTCTTCCAGCATAAGAAAGTCAAGCAATGTGAGACAGCACAACCTCTTCAGGAAACTTAGTCAAAGCTTTTCAAGACCCAGCTGCATAAAGGGCTGAGCAGCCTGGCCTGACCTTGTAGCTGACCCTGCTTTAAGAAGGACTGGACACTTCCTGAAGTCCCCTGAACAATCCCATGAAAACATTTTTGCTAGCCAAATATTAGAGTTGTCCTGGATGTGTCCACGATATCTTATGGCTTTGCAGAATAGGTGCGAACTGATTCATGCAAACAAACGTCTGAAAACAAGGAATGCAGTTTCGCACACTGTAAGCCCTGCCTTCAGTCGATGAAATTCATTACACTGGTGGTAGTTACTAACAAGCATTCACAGGAATGAATTCACTGGAGTCAAATTATGGGGGGCGGGTTTGGATCAACTTATTGGAGCTGGCACCCATAGTCTTAGAGAGAGATAGGGTCTTCTCTGAACTCCCTCCACCAACACAGCAAGTGTACAGACCATCTAAATTAACATGCAGTGTTCATGGGCACTGGGAAAAACTGATATTTAAACTTATTTAGATGTAAATCTTAGTTGGAAGAGAGGTGATACTTTGCTATAATGCTTCCTATATGCATTGATCTTTTAAAAGTATGCATTATATTTTTCAATCAATGTGTATATTGATATTACTATTGATACTACTTGTTTTTTTATATATTCTTTATTAGATTTTCCCCCTCTGATATGTTCCTCCTCCAATATAAAAATATCTTTTCACACCTTTTTCTCATTTTTCCTATATTAAATCTAACCTGCAAATCTTGGTCACCTTTTTTGTTGTCTTCTTGCCTTTCTCATTTAGATTGCCGGAAGCAATTGCAAGAAAGAAATTTAAAGTGGATGGAGAGAGGAGTGAGACTGATTTTTATAGAGACTGATTTTTGAGTGAAATGGATTTTTTTTTTATTACAGTCTTTGAACAGCTTCTTGTGAGGCTACATTTGATGCTGCTTGTTTTTTTACAGAGTTCTTTTTTAAAAGATCTAAGTCTAACCTCTGATGTCTGTTGGATTCCACAGTGTTCTTCCACTTTCAGTTTTCTGTAATAGTTCCAGTCTGACCTTCTTCATTAAATTGCTTACTTCCACAGAATCCGAGATCTTGAATCTGATATGCCAGTCTGTTTCATTATGCAGATCTATCCTATATCTGCAGTTTATCTGCATCCCAGCAGCACTAAATTCAAGTGGCTTTTGCTCTCTGATTTCAAACTGTCTACCAGTTTCCATCTACTGATAAGAAATGAATTCAATATGGTTAATATGGTTTCCCATTGATCCCTTTTTTTAAAACTATAATAAAGTTATTCTGTACTAAATAGAGGTCAGCTTTGATGCATGTTCAATTTTTTTTTCTCCAAAAATCTGTGAGAATAAAATTTCTTCCACAGTTGTGGTATCCTGTGATTTCTAGTCCTGTAAGAACTGGCCATGCATTTTTTGTCATTCTCACTTTCATCTGGCTGTGGTGGTTTATAAGCAGATGTTTATTGTTCTCTCCCTTTCTTTCTTTCCCCTGTTCTTGCTAACTTAATACAAAGGAAGTTGCTACCATGCTTTTCATTATCACATTATAAATTCTGAACATCATAAATGTCTATGATTCATAGAATCATTGTAATTATCTTTTGGGATCCTCTGTGATTAATTCACTTTTCCCGTTCACAGAAATTGCTTATAAATCACAAGCCTTCTTCCAGTAATGTTAACTCTGCAACAACTTATAAATTATTTTTTGTGTGGAATGTCTATTTTTGTAAAGAAATCTTTTGAGTTTATAATAAAAAGTGAGAGGTTTACTTTTTTGAGTAGTCATACTGTATTTTTTATGATTTCTTTTACCTCTTTTACTATCAACTTGTATTGTTTCTGTATATTCTTCTCTCATAAGTCTTATTGAAGTATGCTTTAAATATAAAGACTTCATGTTTTTTGAAATATTTAGCTGCTTGCAAAATGGCAGCCCTAAAGATAATATACGTAAATATGCATACTTACAACAAAAGATAACATTCTGAATTTGAAGTAAGAATTTCAGATTTGGATTATTTTCATTCCTTTGCTTAAAGGAAGGAAAAGTGTCAATGAATCTCGAAACGATGGTTGATACCCAGAGAAAGTGCTAATTCTTTAAATATTTGTTTTATAGAGCAGTTCAAGAATTAATTTGAAAATATTACTTATCCACAAAAGATTGTATCTATTTTCCTACAGCCTTTTAAATCCTAATAAGGTTCCAGACCTTGCCCCTGACTTCTAACTTTTTCTGATAGTTAGATCTACTGTTTCCTTAAGTTCAGTACAGTTTTAGTTGTCACGGTGTGGTATGTATTGTGGGAAGGAGGATTTATCTTGTCCAGAGCCTTCTGCTTATTTTTGCTTGCTCTGTAATAGTAACTTTTCCTAGTATGGTTTTGAAACAGTTCTAACATGATAAAATTGTAGGTAATTATATGGAGTATAATATAAAATGTGAGCTGTAATCTATGTTAATTGTGCCAATTCCCCTTGGAATAAATTTTAAAAATTAAATTTACAAAAGGTTCTGTTGAGAGATGGCAATATATGAATTGAAAGTAATGTTCAGCAAATTAATGACTTTGTTCTTTGCATAAATGTTCAGCTCTTTTTTATTCTTGATTGCAGACAACCTATCACAAGAAATTTGTGTTATTACTGATGTGAAGGAAGATGCGGTGCAAGTTGGTTTTCTCCTTCATGAATCTCTGAAAAGCCGAATAAAAGTAAGTACAGTTCTGTGGTAAATCGTATGATTCATCTAATGTTTCTGGTTACCCCAAGTCAGAAGAAATGGCCTGAATTCTGTGATTGCAGAAGCAAAGGCCTTCTCTGTCACTCTACTGTTCTAAGGGATTAACACCAAATAGAAAAGCTACCAAGAAAGAAACATTATCTGCCCAGTTATGATGTGGATATGGTGTTTAAAATGTGTATAGTGGATTAGAAGAGAAAATAAATCTAGGCAGGAGGAAGAACAACTCTTTTATTATTATTATTATTTTATTTTATGGATTTGGTAAGCCCAAATTGTTACAAATTTGTTACAGAAGAAATGCTTTTGTTACTTTGAAGTCTGAAATAAAGCCTGAACCAATTAAAGAGTAAGTTGTGTTCCTTCAAAACTGCAAAAGGAAAGTCAAAGTAATTGGTCTTTTTGCAGAGATAAGGAAGTAAATTTCACTTAAAGGGATTGCTGTTTGAAGCACTGTTGGAGAACACTGATGGAATTTTCCATTGGCATTTAATTACCTTGTCCTTTTTCATTATTCTTACAGATGGAGCTACCATATGTTTTCATTTTTCCAAAGGTACTTAACATTTGGTAATGGGATAATTCTTAATTATGTCTTATGTGATAATGTCACATTTTTGCATTTCCCTAAGGAGACACAGGCCAGTAGTAACTGTTCAGAAATAAAGGTTTCCTGATTTGCATAATGTTTCTTCAGTGTGCTGGAAAATAAGATTGATTTTAGTGCGGGCCTGTAGCCGAATGGGTTTTATTCATGCCTATTGATCTTCTACTTTCTCTGCTTAATTAATTTTTGAATTTTTTTATGTAACTAACTGTTTTGGTATTTTATATCTGAAAATGAAATTTGACATTATACTGAGAGTATTTACATGGCAAGAATTATGTTTACTATGGAAAACTATGCTTTATGTGTACTGCATATCTACATGGACAAGTGCAAAACATTGGAACACCAGAACAAGATTTTTTTTTGTCTGAATGAATGGCTGTACAGTGGAGTAGAAATATGCTTCCATTTAACTGCTACCAGTGCACATCACTGGTTTTCCTTTGTCTCTTGCATTATATTATTCTGTAAATACGAAGAAGACATCACTCATATTTGGGAAAAAAAAAAAAAAGTCCTCCTTTCATGTGTTGGCTTACACATATGCTATGTCTGTATATAACCACATTATTAAATACCATGAGAAACATTTCCAAGCCGTTAAGGAAAAACTATTTGTTATGTTCAAGCATCCAACATCCTAAAGCCAAACTTAACCTCTAGTCAGGCTGACACCATAACCAAAGTTAAAAAATTAAAATCTGCATTCAGATTCAAGCTTTTAGCTGATGCCAAATTGCTTAAAGTTACCTTTATTTACACTGAAGACCCTTGCTCACACTGCCTTGCTCACTATTGAAGAGGGAATTTGGGAGGGAATTTGGTTGAGCACAGTTATCCTGAACCAGCATGTGAGCCCATGGTCAGTTTTAAGCACATGAACAGTTTCACGGAAGTCTTGCGTGGCCGTGGGCTGAGCTCTGCGTTTCGTGTGAGAGGGGGTTCTTTGAAAGCTAGGAGAAGTTGCACATTTACGAAGATTTGAGAACCAAGCTCTTAATGCCTTGAAAACTCCTCAAGGAGGGGTTTGTGTATCTATGCATTTGCCACGCAGAGGTTTATCTTATGATTTTACCTGTGTCCCACCCCTGTCAGCCCATTAGATCTAACCATGCCTACTTTTCTGAGAGGCATCTGATACTCTTGTTGCTGCATGATATAGTTGTAAAAACAGACTCAGTGTACTGTCATATCAAATCGTTCAATTTAAGTCTCTAATACACTCTATTTGTTTTTAAATGTTCGAAAATACTTAAATGTGTATTGTAACTTTTCAAGGGAAAAATAGTAGGTCTTCTCCTTGGTACCATGTTCCGTTTATCTTCTGAAAAGTCTCTTGCATGCAGTGTGTCCTCTTCTTTTGAATATGCTTCGGGTTGTGAAGATAACGGGGGTTTCTTATTTTGCTGCAGAAGTTCAAACCAAAAGGGCCATGGAGTCTGGTATTTTCCAGATATTTCCAGATATATATTTCATGCCTTCTGTTTTTTTTTTCCCCAAATATTAAGTAATAGCTCTTTAGAGCTGCATTATGAAATTTTCCTCCAAAATGGATCTAAAACCATTAATGTATACCTTTCAACTTTGAATTATATTATTATTAAAATATAAATCGTCTTCCTTTGCTTGGTCTTTCCTTTGCTGCCCAAATATTAATTATTAGACAATAGTGCAAAGCCTCTTTTAGTTTTGTACTTCTGTGTTGATGTGCGTATTGATGTTTGAGAGAACAGAGCAGAGTATATTGGTTCTTTCGTTTGCTGCAGCCTGTAGGACGTGTTCTGGACTGAAATAAATCTGAGCAGTGCAACAGAGAGGTTAGCTGGCTAAATAGAATCAACATGAATTTTGGGCCCCTTTTCAACTGTTTTTATTGGCTTTAAAATGCTATCTTCTTCTAGGGAACAAATTCTCCTTCCAGTATTTTGGTTTGCCATTTTTCTTAAGGCAAGCTCGAAGTTGATGAAATAATGGAACTTTTTATTTTAATTAGGATAAGATCATTTCTTATCTTGTTTATAGTTAACTTTAATTTGCTGTAGTTGAAAGTTTTAAAATAAATATGATTGTCATTAAGATACTATTTTAAAGTCTTCACTGAAGAATTGCTTTTTTAAGAGAAATCCTAAATTATGCTTAGTGTATACAGAATTCCAGAATACTTAGGCAGCTGGAATTCCTTATGTACTTGTTTGTGTTTTGGTTGTATGAAGACCACAGACGCCTTTACTGAAGACTGGAGAGGTTTTCTGAGAACTAGACATTGAAACCATCTAGATACTCTTGACCTGTGTAAATGATCTTTTTCTCTCTGGAAATGGTTGGACATGTAGAGACAGGCAGTGGCTCTAGTGCCTGCAGCAGATGAGTGGCAGCTCCGAGTGGCTCCCTCTAGCAATATGCAGAAGGAAAAGGCTGCATAGAACTTAGCAGGGTCTTCAACTCGATGCTCCCCTGTTGTGTCACTCAAAAATTTCAACAGGAGTTTTAGTTTGCAGATTAGGAATACTATCTGCCAATTTTATATCATGTGAATAAACAGTTCTACCACAATAGCAAAAGCTTTAACAGATAATTAATGCTAAAATCAAATTTTGGGTTTTTTTTCATTAGGTTGAAGTTATATCGATATCTCTATGTAAAAATGATAACCATCTACAGAACATGGTTTCAGGAGGGTGCTACAATTTTATTTGCATACATGTAAGTAGTAATGATTTATGCTTTCAGTTTTAAAAATTAAACAAAAATGTGTTAGTAATGGTAAATGTTAAGCATAAGTTGTTTATTTCCAACTTCTTAATTGCTCTAGAATGGCATTTACTATCTTGAACATAATCTGTTTTTGGTCCCTGTGATGGAACAGGAAGGTTTTAACTGAACCTTGAAACAAATCAAGGGCCTTAAAAGATAGTATATACATTTCCTAAAAATGATTTTATTAATCTCAAAGTTTTTCTATCTACCTATAACTTTACCAAGGATCACAAATATAAAAAAGTGATGTGTCTCTTTTTTAGTAATAATAGAACCTTTAATTCTGTTTTTATGAAATAACTTTGATGTTTTTATTAATTTTAAATATTTGTTTTCATTTAGGATAAACGATCTGCATTTCAAGAAGCCCAGCTACTAGTGGATATATTGGAAAAATCAAATATCACTCCCTCATATCCAGTTATGCTTATTTCAGTAGGTTACCTCCTTTAAATTACTGTAGTTAATATCTAATAAAGTGTTTTTAAGTGATCGACTTGGTAAATGGCAAATTTGGTTAATTTGAACCATAAATTAGATTGTAAAAAGATGTTGTTGTGCTGCAGGTAGTGTACTATATCCTGTCAGGAAATAAAACAATGGTAGCAGAAGGCAGCTTATTAGTTAGATATTGCATTAAAATATTAATTGTGGCTAGTCATGTTGAAAAATTTGACATCTCTACCATGGACTGTGTTAGTGGTTTTTTTTTTTTTTTTTCTTTTTTGTTTGACACTGGAAATGTGAGAGCTCTGTTAATATTACAGCAGTTACAGATATCTCTGACTTAATACTTCCAGAGAAATACATAAGGATGAAAAAAAAACACTTACCCAAACACACTGTGAAAATTAAAGGTTGTGTCACTAAGATACATAGATATCTAAGTCCTCGAAGCCTGTTTGTTTGCACAGCTTACTGAAGGCACAAGTAAGTGAAGCAAACACACTTTCAAGCAGCCTCAGTAAAAAATGGCGTGTTTAATCTGTTTTGTATTGCACTCTGGATGGCATATTCCCTGCATCCCTTGTTCCTAACAAACATTTGAAATTTTCCAAATCTTGACTGTGGGCAAAGAGTCTTGCAACTGGATGAAAAGAGCTGCTAACCTCAAAACTGGATACGCTTAGATGTTTACTCAAAGTACCTCTCTCAAACACAAAAAAGTACCCCAGCTACAAAAACACATTTTGTGCTATGCATTCAAGTTTTATGGAATTACCATGTTATCTTTAGAAATACAAGATGGAAAAAGGGAGGCCTGGGAAGCATGTTTTAAATGACTGAAGAATTAGGTAAACAAATAATTGTCTAATATTAAGCACTGGGATATATTTAATTCTGTTAGACTTCAGTACCTGTAACTCTTCACAGTTAGGATGGCTGCAGGAGAGCCACTTCTTTCGGCAGTCTTTAATTACACTGAATGTTGGGTGTTCTCCTGCACAACACTCGAGAGCGGTGCTCTCCTCAAAACTATCCCTCTGTAGAGCTTTTGGGACAGGCTGAAGTTGCAGGAGACACAGGGAAGCAGAGAAGTAAACGTCATGCAATTATTTTACCTCTTCCCTGCATCAAACTAATATGCTGTCCATATAATTAGTTAGGGTTGGAGAGAAAAGAATTCTAATACTTCTTCTCTGTAATTGACAATATCTGCACTACAGAGAAAAATCAAGTTTGAAGAAAATCTGTGATTAATGCTGTGGAACAAGGCAATGTAAATAGATATTTTAAAAAATGCTTTAAGGGAAATGCCTTTTATGTGTCAGGGAACTTGAAACATTTTTCCTGTGCGTGGATCTCTGAGGTCAACTCTCTAATTCCACCTCTTTGTACCACTGACTGATAAATTTTATATAGCTGGAATCTTTTAACCATGAAAATATTTCCCATTCTTTTAAGATTTATGACTTCAGATATTCCTGTTATTAATGGCTGCTTGAACTTTATATGTAGAGATAATCATCCTTAATCTGGATTTTGATGGTTAATAGAAACCTTGCAAAGTAAACGCAGGAAACTGTGGGAATACTTTAAGTCTCAGGAAAGAGTTGAGAGCCCTGAGCTGTGTGAGCCAGAGGGACACATATCCCCAGAGAGACAAGCTCAGGTCCTGTAGGTCCTGGTTTGTGCAGTATCCCAGCTGGGCAACTGAAACTTGCATTTCTTTGCCCCGAGAGCTGCTCATATCCCTTTTGAAATTGTCTCTGCTTTTTAAACGTCAAGAATTATGGCGAGATGAATGCAACTGAGACAACTAGAAAGATGGTAAATCCAAATGAAATTTTTAACAAATGCAATTCCATTTTGAAAACTTTCAGATTTGCTTACGGGACATCTGTAATGTTCCAATTTCCTGCTGCTAAAAATCAAAATCCTATGGAAGCTTAAAGCTTAGAAAAATAATTATTGTTTGTTTGCTGATTTAATGGATCATTTTAACATGCCGGCAGAAGCTAATTAAGAAAAACTTTTGTTAGCCTGTCTTTTTGTGTGTGCTTAATAATGCTATAAAATATTAAAATTTGTTGGTTTAAAATAATATGTTTTGAAAAGTGGATATTTTTGCATCTTTGGTCCTTTGCAGGTGCACTTGAATAGTTCAGAAAATATTTCTTTCAGCATTGGAGTGGAAGAATTAACTAGTATCAAGAAATTTGCAAGGGAAGTGAAAACGAAAAATATTTGGGTTTATGGTCTTCTTATCCATTACGAGGTATGTAATTCTTTTTTTACCTGCAGATTTTCTACTTTTGTGATTTATATGATGAATGATAGAATCGTAATTTTAAAAAAAATCAAAGGGGAATAAATATGACATGAAAAAGATTTATTGGAAAGATTCTTGCCTGTTCTTGTTCAAAATTCAGAAAAGCTTTTGGTTAGAGGCAAAAATGTAAGCATTTTGATTAGAGAGGAACAAATGGTAAACAGTTTTTCAAAGCATGCAAAAATATCATGGCCTGTTTTTTTGCTGTTTTGTTTAAAACTCGGTATTTGTTTTCATCATTTTAAACATAACAAAGTATCAGAAATATTTTTGATCAGTGATTTTGCAAAATTTTGTTCCCCATCAAAACAGTGTTTCGTTTTCAGGTAACAGAAAGGATATGACAAAAAGGTGGTGAAACAAACAGTATCCATGTCTGCAGTACCAGCAAAACATCTTAGCTGGAGGCAAAAAGAGTTAGCACTCCAGCATCCTTTGTACTCAGAAAAGCTATTTAAAATGTCATTTTGCCTGAGAGGTGTTATGCCTGTCAAAAAATTGGACTGCAAATATGGCTTTAGTGTAAGTAGTATGTTTTTCTTAACTGAGAGCATATATAATTTTATATTTAAGTGGATTAAATGGACATATGCCTATAGCAACATTTCAAAAAGCTGACTGGAAGGAAAAGGTTTTATAATCTTCCAATGATTTTTGAGCTGTATTATTAGCAAGCATGTATAATAAAAATAAAAAATCTGAATTTAAATTCTTAATCCTTGGTGAGAGTGAGAGAATTGCTGCAGAAAACTGTCTCCCTGTTTTTGAAAATAAACAGCTAGAATGGTTGTGTAAGATCACTGCACACAGCATCCTCATCTATTAAAATAGACAAAGTATTATGCAGAACATATTGAAGGGTGATTAGACCACTTCTAGCCATCTTGTCTTAAACAATTTGAAAACATTTTCTTCTCAAAAAGATGGAGATATCCTCCTGAGTTCCTGCTCAGGAACATTTAATGAATAACTAAGAAGTAGATTATACAGATCACATATTTTACACATCAGATTTTCTTACAGCTGCAGATCTACCAAGCACATAACTGCTTCTAGGCAAGGTCCTGTGGAGAGTGTTGGCATGGGAATCCAGGAATGGCACAGCCCGAGCCTTATTGCTGCTCTGGGGGAGGTTGAGGTGGGCTGTTGTGAACAAAAGCCATTCATACATCAGGAAGACGTCTTTAAAACAGTTTTATTTCACCTAAAACCATGATCTGGGAGTCACTGAGGTACTTTGGGTATAGTACAGCCTGTTAGCTGGTACGTGGGCCCTTCTCTGTTGAGCAAGGAGAAGTTATGTGCATGCCAACTCTTGAATCAAGAGGCTGATTCTCCTGTGCAGCCTGAGGACTGCAAGGGCTCCTGCTTTTAGAGGTGGTATGGGCTCCCCATTGCAGCTCGCAGCCCTGGATGCTGCCACAGCCATAGCAGTTTCATGCTTGAGGGTGGGAAGGTTTCCTTCATCCTGGAACGGCGGAGGCTCCCGAGGAAGCGCAGGCCCCGGGAGCACCTGCAGTGCAGGAGCTTCCCCGGGCGCCTGTTGCAACGTCGGGCGGTATCCAGTAGTCCCTGACAGCTATAGATTTCTTCAGGAGGTGAGTGATGACAAATCACTCCATGGAGGTTCCCTCTAGCTGACAAGATACATCATCACTACCAAACATGTAGGATTGATCTACACACTTTCACTAACTTTAAAACTGGGATAAAATCTAATGGACGAAGCATTGAGGCACGTGACCGCAGAAAGGTTGAGGTGGAATCACTTTACAGCTGTAAGGGATTTATAATAATTGGATGTGATGATGTATTGACTTAATAAATATGAAAGAATATGATGTCACTCATGTTCTGCATTAGGAAAGTAAATCTGTGGAAGTTGAGCTCTATAGGGGTTTTACAGGTTTTGGAAATGGAAGTGAAATGCTTTGGGAACTTTGGAGTACGCTTCTGACAGTATTGGGGGCAAATTAAAGGCTCAAAGGAGATTATAAATCTTTATTTTCATGTCTTAAATGGAGTGTTTGCTTGGTCTTTAGAAAATATACCAAATGTGTGTTAAGAGCTTGAACACAAATAATTATTTCTACCAGAAAAATGATTCAAGAAATTTCAAAATATTGATAATGATACAAAAATTAGATTCACTTAACAGCTCTAGTTTGCATCAAAAAAACCCCTAAAATTTCATTTATGAAAGTAATTCTAAACCAATTATTTTCTAAAAACATATTTTTAATGTTAGAAAAGTTTTATGTACTCAAAACACATAGAATCATAGACTGCTTAGGGTTGGGGAATGTGTGTATTTAGCTCTTGAGGACTTTTGAGCCTATCAGATGAGTCAAAAGGTATAGCTGGTAAGCAAGGGGAGTTGAAATACGGGAAAAGAACTCTTTTATGGAAGATATTTCTGTCATACAATAATGAAATTGTCAGCAAAATTCCAGCTGTTTTGATTTAGTACAGATCCTCAAGAAACCAATGATGTATGGTATACAGTGTAAGTAGGTTATTTTTTTAATAGTAGGTAATCTAATGAGGGGTCAGTCCCCAGCCTGTACTGGTGTCTGGGGTTATTCCTCCCCAGGTGCAGGACCTTGCACTTGGCCTTGTTGAATTGCATGGGAAAAGAGTATTCATAAAATTCGGAATGTGTGTATTTAGCTCTTGAGGACTTTTGAGCCTATCAGATGAGTCAAAAGGTATAGCTGGTAAGCAAGGGGAGTTGAAATACGGGAAAAGAACTCTTTTATGGAAGATATTTCTGTCATACAGTAATGAAATTGTCAGCAAAATTCGATTCAGTACAGATCCTCAAGAAACCAATGATGTATGGTATACAGTGTATGTATGGTATTGTAATGTATCAGGGTAAGTAGGTTAGTTTTTTAATAGTAGGTAATCTAATGAGGAAAAGCTATGGAAAAAAAATATTTTTGGATAAACAGTTTTACTTCTCTGTGCATAAAAAGAAGTTTTTCCCAACATGAAGAAGCAAATTCAGGAGCTTGTAAAGGTTGCACTGATAGAGTCTGGATCTAGAACTTTCACCAGTAATTTTCTTGCTTTTCACAGAGAGTAAAACGGAACAATTATTATCCAGAAAAAAATATGTAACGTGGATGGATGAGGAAGCTATAGGAAGTACGAAAGTAATATTGTGATATACTAGCTATGGAACTTCATAATTTTAAATAACCCTCCTTCAGTAAAGTACTGACAGAATATGAGGTTTAGAAGAGCAAATTTTTTTTTTTTTTTTAAGGCTGAGGTGGCCCCAAGTACTCTTGCCTCTACAACAGGTACTTGAATCAGATAAGGTAACTGAAACAGCCAGAGCAATCACTGGCTTAGATCACTGGCACTTAAAAGAGCCAACTGATACAATACTTGTTAGGAAACTATTTAAAACTAAAAGGAAACTGAAGAGTGGGTGGTTTATTATGTACAGATAATAAAAAAAGACTACAAAAAGTGGTCTTTTTGACCACTTAAGAATTTTTGAAAGCAATTTTTCAATACTGTGCTTGGTGATGGAAGGAATACTTAAAATGGTAAGTATATATTCTGGCTGGCTGGCAAAATGTAAAAGGTAAATATTTACAAAAGTTTTTTTTTTTTTTTTTCCTCCAGTAAAGATCACTTAAAGATGATAAGTGCAGATGTAATGGCCGTGATTCCCGGAACAGGGATCACAACCTTGAGTGGGGGTTATGCATGTGGCAATGCGGAAGGTGGTTTGGCAACCAAAGCAATAGGCTGAGCCTGAGGGGCAAAATCACCAGCTGAAAGTTTGAGAACTTGTTGAAATCGCTTGAGCCATGCTCTGCATGATGCCTGCACATTTCTTAATTAACTTCATAGTCATCAGAGAACTTGGTCAGTTGATTGTGAGCTAGTAAGTGTGTTTGGGATGGTGTTTAGGAATCTCTCTCTGGCCTAAAGATTACACTTTTTTATATTTCTGCCTCTGAGCTGCAATGGCATAATAGGTTGTCACGAATATGGAAACCTGCATCAATCCATAAAAATCCTTGGGAAGAAGTATTTCATGTTTATTATTTTCCAGAGCCAGAAACTATAACTTTTAAGTAGCTGTGGTTTGCAGACTGTATTCACACTTTCATCAAGAAATACTGAGCAAATGAGTGATGAGTTAAAAGTATCAGAGTGATCGAGGTTGCAGTGTGTGACACAGAGGTGGAAATCAAACCCAGCTAGAAATTGTATACACGAGGAACTTCACTGAAATCAGCATCTATAAGCTCATTAATACAAAAGTCTAGTGAGTTATTCCCAGTAAAACCAGAGACCGATATTTATTGAGGATTGATTTGTTCTAATCAGCTATTACTACACATAATTCTAAAGAAATACATCTGTGTGTTAATATTTGTATCTGTTGTGCAACTTGTACAGAAATAATAAACCACTTAGCTTTTTTATTTTGAATTGAAACTTGTTATCCAAACCTGTATTTTGATCTTTACTCAATATCAAGAAATAAAAAAGTTTACATCTCTGGAGCATTAGTCAATTGAGAAGTATTAATTCCAAGTGAAATATTCATTCCAAGTTCACTAAAACATTAACTAAACTTTAGGCGCTGAGTCAGAAAGGATTTAAATACAGACTTGAGTTTGTTTAACAAAAACTTGGAATCTTGCTCATATTCTAGACATCTGGGTGGATGTCAAAATGGGAAGCACAGTCACCATGTGTGCTGCTGATTTTAGTAGATACGCCGATGCCCAGTATTGACTCATATTGTTTAACAATTTTTTCAGGATATTAACCAGTGTTTCTGTCTTGAATGCATCAAGTCTTCCTCTAGTAAAAGCAGATAATAAATTACAGGACTTATTACAACAGTGAAGTTAACTTTCCCATGCAGTTACTGAGTGCCCAGTCTGAGAAAGATAAGCATTTTGGAAAAATAATTGGTAACCTTTTGGGTTTTAATTAAATAATTGTACATGTTTTTATCACAGAAAGGTCAGAGAATTGCTTAATTTGTCTCTGCTGTTACAGCTTCTAGGATTATAACAGGCTGCACAGAAAATGATGAGATTAATGTTTTATGCATTTTACACATGACCTTTCAGACTTGCTTCTGCTATTGAACTTTTAATTGGACAAATCAGGGTTTTCACAACACCTAGCCAAAATAACGAAGGTGTATAATTTTTTTTTTTTTTAATCGTGTCTTGAAAGAGTAGTATTTAAATTTTCCTGCTTTTGGAACTTGTTCTGGATAGTCAATAAATGAAATATATGTATATATATAAAATTCAGGATAGTTTAATACTCTTGAGTAAGATTTGAAAGAATAAATATTGTCAAATGGTGAAAAGACCTCTGAGAGTGGGAAAATATATAATATAACAGGATGGAAAAGTGCATGTTTTAGTTATGCTGGATGTTTTAGTGTGATAGAGAATGAACACTGAATTGAAACAGTTTGCAAAAACAAATACAGTGAGCATCAAGCCTGAGTTTCATCTTCAAATCTATTATTAGTTAATCTGACATTTTTTCGGTATTATGAAAGCTTTGATGTTGACCTGCTATCTCTTAGTGGAAACACAAACATTTAAAATGAAAGGATATTAACACAAAATTTTGTTTGCAAACAAACTGCTTTTAACTTCTTTTTTTTTTTTAACATTGGTAGCTTGCTGATTAGAAAGCTTGCTGTGAAGCCGGTCGTGTTTGTTTGTGGACAGTTGCCCTTTCAGATCCCTAGTGCTGCAGTTCTTGGCTCCAAGCAGAGCTCGTGCTCCTTCACTGTCTGAGTAAGGTGAGCCAGGAGCATCCAAAATCAGCCTGCTCACCTTGCTCACATACTGTATCCCAAAGGTACCGTTTACCAGGTACCTGTAATACTCAGCCATAAGTACATCTGAGCAAGATAAGTGCATCTGCTTTTTTTAATAGCTTTAGCTCTTTCTATGTAAAACAGCATCACCAAGGGCCTAGTAAAGCACCTGTGTATGCTTAAGAGGCTTTTGAAAACATTACCAACTTGCTATTGTGCTCATTTTCTAGTCCACTTCCTTCTGTATTTTGGATGCACTTTTCAAAGGTTTTATTCCCTCTCTCCTCCTCCCCTCTCCTCCAATAACTTTTGCCCATTTCAGTGGAAAATTTAGCTTTATAAGTTAACCATAAAGCAACTCTGAAAATAGAATTTTATGCTAGCTTGAGCTTGACTGGTAATATACTAGTTGCTTCTCTATCAAACAATATTTCATGTTAGAGTTAGCCTCTCTGAAAGATGTATTCTCTTTTGCTTCATAGGCTTTTGTATTTAATGATGAAGATATGTAACAGTTCTGCAGAATTTTAGGTCTCTGCAGGTGAGGATCAGTAATTTCAACTCCATTAATTTACTCATATCCAGGGCTAAAGATATCAGAGGTGTTTTAAAAGGGTATGCCATGACATACAAACTCCCCGTTCCCCCGTAGCTGTTTCTCGGCTCATCGCATGAGTGTTTTCTTAACTATACTTGACTGCTGAAACTTCTGAAGTGCTATAGCTATTTAAATAACAACAAAAAAGTCCATCAAAATATACATTATTAGTAACT